TTTATTGGGTGAGTTGGGAAAACATTTGCAAATCAAAGGAAGATGGTGGGCTCGGTATCATGAATATCGAAAGTTTCAATAAAGCATTGCTCATGAAGTAGAAATCGAGAATTGTAAATTATTGGGAAGCTATTTGGATAGGTATTTTGAATTTTAGATGCCATAATCCTGAAGTGAAAATGTACGTCAATGATAAGCGAATAATCAATCCCCAGGATTCAATTTGGTGGAGAGATATATTGATGGTGGATTATTGCGAGAATGTTTCCGTAATCAGCTTTTCAGCTAATACTGTGTGCAAGGTTTGGGATGGAAGGAGCCATTGTTTCTCGTTTAGTAGATAGGCCAGTAATCAGACTATTAGGGAGGCTTTCCCTGAGTTTTTTTGCATCGGAAGAGAACCTGCTCTGCAACATTGTAGAAGCAGATCGCATAATGACTCATGAAACTGACATTCCTCTTTTGCAGGGAAACATAACACGTCTGAAGGGACGAGATTTGAAGAGTTCCTGCAGGCGTGGTCCGGAATCAATGATTTGAATCAAGAGTTAGTCAATGAGTTTGTACGGAAGGCGGAAAAAAATATATTTTCTCTGTCAAGTCTGCGTACAAATTTCTTACTGCTAGATCACCCATTGCTCCTATTCCAATTGTGGTTCGTGGTGTTCGTGGTGTTTAATGGAAAAGTAAAGTTCCGTAGAATGCTATATTTTTTGGGTGGTGTTGGATTCTTGATAGATTGGCAACGAAAGACCAGTTAGCGAGGAGGAAAATTCTGATTGATAACAAAGATTTGTGTTGTGTTCTGTGTTCCAAAGAGGATGAATTTAAAAAGCATGTTTTTGGAGAGTGTGCGTTCAGCTTGAAAATTTAGTCTGCTATAATCTCTTGGATGGGGCCTGATTTTGTCATGTCCAAGGAGGATTTTTCCATGTTTCATTTCTTAGCTAACTCCATCAAGGAGGAGTCGGTTTGGAACGTGGCAAGCATAGTTTGGTTGGCTGTAATTTGGATAATTTAGACGACTCGAAATGACATTGTGTTCAATGATAGCATCCCAAATTTTGAGGAGTGCTGGTCCAAAATTAAGTTGATTTCGTGGGAATGACAATGTTATGCGAATAAGCCCACTTCTTTTTATAGTTTTTCTAATTAAATTTCAACTCCATTAAATTGTATTGCTTAATTATTTTGTATAGTTAGACGTTTTTTTAAGGGTTTTGAGTACCACTTGTACTCGCATGTTTTTCGTAATATATAAGTTGTTTATTTAAAAAAAAAAAACTTATATATGCACCGCACTATTGAATGAGAAAGAGCTAAAGGGAGGAAAAAGCTAATTAGTTATTTTTGTTCTATATATTGAAAGGTATATTCAAACACATTCCACTATTATATGTCCCTACCATTTCTTCAGCTGCTGAAAAGCTGTACACATTTTCTATAAACAGACAAAATATTATTTCATGCACAAATAATATTTTCTATAAATAGTTTAGAAGAAAAACCATAAGCATAACAGAAAAAGAAGAATGATAATTACTTAGTCGGATAGCTTCGAAAAAGATAACATGTTGCTTAACACTTCGAAAAAGATAACATGTTGCTTAACACAAAAGTTTTTTACTTTTTCCATATCAATTTTTATGGGAACGTTTAACATTTTCCACTCACGAAAATCAGGGCCTGGGTATATAGTGGTAAAATACTACAAAAGATAAAATATACTTTAAAAAAAGTGTAAATATATTATGCTGTGTGTGTAAAGAGAAGTTGTTGCGGTCATTAAGTTGTTTCTTTTTCTTTTTACTCAAATAACTACTTATTCCATTAATGTTCTTTATACAGTACATTAAGTTGTTTCTTTTTCTTTTTACTCAAATAACTACTTATTCCATCAATGTTCTTTATACAGTACAGGTATATATTGAGTTAATTATGAACAATTAAATTAGGGTCTGGGTATATAGTGGTAAAATACTACAAAAGATAAAATATACAAAGTGTAAATATATTATGCTGTGTGTGTAAAGAGAAGTTGTTGCGGTCATTAAGTTGTTTCTTTTTCTTTTTACTCAAATAACTACTTATTCCATTAATGTTCTTTATACAGTACATTAAGTTGTTTCTTTTTCTTTTTACTCAAATAACTACTTATTCCATCAATGTTCTTTATACAGTACAGGTTATATATTGAGTTAACTATGAACAATTAAATTAGGAAAACTAAACTCCTTTTTAATTAGTTATTTATTTTTCTAAATCACTTTTTAGGATTTACTATTTCTCTAATAAATTATATCTTAATGACTAAGAGTTTAACTATATATGAATCCTTGTTAGGGCATGTTGTAATCTTGTTGGAGTATATATGAATGAGGTAAATAAAATTAAAAGTAATTTAGATGAAAAGATACTAAATTATCAAGGCAGACAAACACACATACCAAGAAAGAACCCAATAGCATGTCTTATGTATTTAAGGAAATTATTTTGAAGCTTTAATAAAATTGTGTAGACACCAATTCAACATACCAAACAACATGTTTGCAAACTCAAGATTAAAACATTAAAGTAAAATGAAAACAAATTAATCCCCAACATGCCCAAACCTCCTACTATTACATTCTTTGTGTTTATGTAAGGCAAGTTTTTGATAAGTAATACTATAGTATATCTTTATAAAATGAAGAGCCATATTAAATAATGATAAAACTCAGGTATCTTTAAGCTCAATTGGATATCGATAGGACCTTTTACCGTAACAAATCATAATAAAAATTCATTTGAATTTTACTCATAATAGAAACGAATTTAAATTATTAGTTTATCATATCTTTTAAAAAATTTATACCGTATTGAACCATTAGGAAATATTTTTTATTGAACTATTAAATTATTTTTCAAAAATTTATTTTAAAAAATTTAAAACTAATTTTTTGTATTTATCTTTTTTCGATTTAGATCCGGCTCAGTTTTCAGTTTTAATACAATTCTAATACTGTTTGTGTTATATAGTTTGGTTCAGTAAACAGTTCAATTATTTTAATTTTAGTTTGTTTCAAACTGACAATTCAGTTTAATTTAACAGTTTTAAACAGATATACCTTCGACCAATCAAATAGTAAAATTTATTGCCATGTCATTTTTTAATTTAATTTAACGTTAAAACAACTTACACTAGTGATACTGATAATTAATATTATCAAAGAATTTATATAAAATAATTCAAAAGTTTAAAACAATTATTTCATAAGTAAAAAATAATATATCATTATTATAAATGAGAAAGAGAATGACGGAAGGAAAAAACCAAGCATTTGTTCTTTTTTGTTTCTATATATCGAAAAGTATATTCAAACACATTCAACTATTTTATTTGGTGAAAAGCTATATACATTTTCTATAAAAAGACAGAATATAATATTCATACACAAATACTATGAACGTGCATAAATAGTTAACATATTGCTTAACACAACTTCTATAGATTTTAGAAAATAAGTCTATTATTGCCATATATATATATATATATATATATATATATATATATATATATATATATATATATATATATATATATATATATATATATATATATATATATATATATATATATATATATATATATATATATATATATATATATATATATATATATATATATATATATATATATATATATATATATATATATATATATATATATATATATATATATATATATATATATATATATATATATATATATATATATATATATATATATATATATATATATATATATATATATATATATATATATATATATATATATATATATATATATATATATATATATATATATATATATATATATATATATATATAATTTCCATGTATTTCACTTCTAGGATACACATCATTTCCACATCAAACCATACAACTGATGTATCTTAAAGTTTGAGGAAATGATTTTTCTCCATATTCACCATTTGATCACTTTTGTATTCCTATAAATATGTAAGTATAATGTCATTAATTAAGCAATTTTATTTTTAACACCATTTATGGACAAGCATTAAGATGCTTGCTTGCTAGAAGAATAGGCAAATTAGAACTGATTTATCTGATTATTATTCTTAAACATCTTAAAGTCTTTATGAGTGAAAAACAAGAGAAACAAAATATAAATAAAAAGTAAAAGAAAAAAAGTTAAGAAAAAAGTAAAAGAAAAAAAGTTAAGAAAAGCAAAAGAATCTATAGAGGTACATGTTAGGCAAATGTTTGTCCTATGAATGGCAACACATGACTCCCATTTATCATCAAATCATAGACCAACATTGAATCATTCTTCCCATTTCCATTTTTAAAACCTACGTGGCTTCACAAGTCCGCATCACACATTCAGGTAACTAGTGATGCACACATCCTTACCATAAATCCACACTCCCTCTTTCCCATACTTGTGCTGGTATAACTTCAACCAATTCTCTTTTTGTTATATAAACACCAACTCGTCTCTAAGTCCAACTCAAACACAACATAACACATTTCATAGCTAATTCAGTTATCATCTTTTCAAGTCACTTGCTTTTCTTCATTCTCAACATACATAGTGTTAGCTAGAGAGCAACCCTATTGAAGAAAAAAACCCAACATTTATAGTTTCTTGAACTTGTTTACTCGTTGACCCATCAGTAAAATAGTAACATGCTTTCACTCATTTGTTTGGTACCAACATTTCTAAAATTTCAAGCTTATTAATTATTAACCATTTTTTTCTAGGTGACAAAGGACTCCAAATTTTCATTATGTCACTTGCTTTTTAGTGTTACTCTTATTTCAATTTTCATAAACTCATCTTCCCAAGACCATTTGAAGGTAAGTAATTACATTTCATCTCTTTTTCTAAAATTTTATGATATATATTTTTGTTGACTAAAAATAATTATTTTTCATGTTTCTCATAAATATATGTTATTACGTATATGCAGACTTACATAATCTATACGGAATATATGAAAGATGAAATTTCAGCCGTGCTTCATTACAAATATCTGATGCAACAAGCTTCTGATAGGTTGCACATTTAACTTTTTATGATATATTTATTTCTTACTGTTACATGCAATTTAATTTTTTCTTTGATAGGGCTCTGATAGTTTATTTTAAGCAATATATTTTTTTTTGTTGCATCTCATTTATATATGATCATAATTAAATATGAAACTAGTCAAAAAAAATATATTATTATATAATTAATTTCTTACCCATTGTTTTTACTTACAATTTTAACAGCCAAGAGCCAAAATCTGTACTACACTCTTACAAACCCAACCTTGGCGGCTTTGTACCAAAATTAACGAAGGCAGAAGTGGATAGAATGGAAGGTGTGTAGTGACTAATGTTGAACTATTGAAAACCAAATTATATTTATTCTCTATACTAATAATTGTATGTTTGATTATGAAAATTGATATTGTAGGATTGGATGGAGTAGTGGCTATCTTTCCGGTTAAAAAGAGGCCTCTCCTTACAACAAAATCCTGGGATTTTATTGGTCTTCCAATAAAAGTGAAAAGAAAGTCTTATGAATCCGACGTGATCATTGGAATAATAGATTCTGGAATTTGGCCAGAATCTGAGAGTTTTAATGATAAAGGGTTTGGTCCACCACCATGCAAATGGAAGGGAGTTTGTCAAATCATTAATTTCACATGCAACAAGTAAGATGTTATTTTTATAATTCATTTTAAAATACTTAATTTACTATAGAGTATAATATAAACAATGGTTGATATACATGTTTTTTTAGCAAGTTAATTGGGGCTAGATATTATGGTGATATCGACGATAAATTTATGAACTCTCCCATAGACTTTTACGGTCATGGAACACACGTAGCATCAACCGCCGCTGGGAATCCTATTAAGCATACAAGTATGTCAGGCTTAGGAGAAGGAACATCTAGAGGTGGAGTTCCATCAGCCCGGATTGCTGTATATAAGGTGTGTGGGATCCATGCATGTGATACGAGAAGAATTCTTGACGCTTTCTATGATGCCGTGTCAGATGGAGTAGACATAATATCAGTGTCAATTGGAGGAGAAATGGAAAACCAAAATAAAAATTTTAACGATGAATTATCAGTTGGATCCTTTTATGCAATAACACAAGGAGTTTTAACCGTCTTTTCTGGAGGAAACTATGGCCCAACACCTGCTTCCTTGTCGAATTTTTTACCATGGTCTATTGTTGTGGGTGCGGGAACTTTAAATAGAAAATTTGTGACCATGGTGAAATTAGGAAACAATAAGATTTATGAGGTAAATTTTTTTTTCCATATTTTAAATATTATGACTTTAAATTTGATTTGTTTACATATTAACTAAATTAATTATATACTCTGTTAATAATCTCCTTAATTCTTAATGTTAGGGGATATCTGTGAATACATTTGACCTATTAGGAAAAATGTATCCTATTGTCTATGGTGGAGATGTTCCAAATAAGGAAGCACATTTTGATGGCCATAAATCAAGGTAACTAATTAGCTAGCCTTCCAATTATTAAAGTTAACAAAAATATGTATAATATTCTAATAAAAGTATTGTAATTAAAAATGAAGGTTTTGTACTACCAATTCCCTTGATGCTAAGTTGGTGAAGGGGAGAATAGTCTTGTGCGAAGGCAACCTAGGAATACAAGAGGCATTAAGAGTTGGTGCAATTGGTATCTTGACACAAGGTGGAAGTTATAGAGATGTTGCTGAAGGTTTCCCATTAGCTACATGTTACCTTCAACCAAAAGATGGATCTAGCATTCACAAATACATTAATTCTGCTAGGTATATGAACTTCAATTCATGTATACACTTACTTACAATTATTTATAATATCTATATAGTCACATGAACTTCAATAATTTCTATTAATTATTTTGCAGAACTCCAATGGCAACTATATTTAAGTCGCATGAAATAGAATATGCTTTAGCTCTCATAGTCGCCTCCTTTTCATCGAGAGGTCCAAATCTAGTTACACCCGATATTCTTAAGGTTTGTGTTTCTTTATTAATCAAAAATTTAATTATATCTAAATAGTCATTTTAAATGTTTAATTAAATTTTTTCTATTTGTTTGATGTTATAGCCGGACTTAATTGCTCCCGGAGTTGATATCATTGCTAGTTGGTCGCCAATTTCTAATGTACGTAAAGAACTAACATTTAACATCATCTCCGGAACATCGATGGCATGTCCGCACGTCTCTGGTGCAGCAGGATACATCAAATCCTTCCGGCCTACTTGGTCACCTGCTGCTATCCGGTCCGCTTTAATGACAACAGGTATATAAAACTATACATCATTAATAAAAATTATTATATATACTTCACTTCATTTTTGTGAAACCAAACTTTTATCTTTGTTTTATTTTATTATTTTACGGTATTTAAAACTTATTAAATTTTTTTTAAAGTATTACAAAGTTATTTGCTACTATTTAAGAATTCTTGATATCTGTAAGATAATACTCTGAGAATTCTAAAACATATTATGTGTTCCTTGTGTTGTGTTGCAGCCAAACAAATGAGTGCCATAAATAATCACGATGCTGAATTTGCTTACGGAGCCGGTCAAATTGATCCAGTGAAAGCTTTAAATCCCGGGTTAATATATGATATTGGAAAAATAGATCACTTAAGTTTTTTATGTAATTTAGGCTACAACAAATCCGTCATTACATTTATCACGGGGAATCCATTTATCTGTTCCAATGTATCATATACATCTGTAAGGGATTTAAATTATCCATCATTTGCTTTGAAAGCATCAAATCCGCACAATATAAGAGGGACCTTCAAACGAACTGTTACAAATATTGGATCGCCATCGTCCACATATAGAGCATTTCTGTCAGTTCCTGATGGACTCAACATCTCGGTGAAGCCTGATGTTTTGTCTTTCACTTCATTAGGAGAAAGGAAAACATACATTCTTACAGTAGATGGATCGATTAACGAGCCTATTAGATCTGCTTCTTTTATTTGGGATGATGGTGAACATCAAGTGAGGAGTCCCATTGTCGTATATGATAAACGAGAAGAGAAAGAAGAAAAAGCTTCATATTTCAGTGTTCGAGCTGTTGTCATTATTGTTGTTGTTTCAGTTATTGTTTTGATTTTTATTTTTATTTTAGTTTAAGTATATTCCAGCTTTGTATCATTTTTATCTGTCGCATAGATCTGAGCAATTGTGATACTTCTTGTAAGATATTCAGTTTGATTTAATATATCAATTTTGTTATTAAAAAATACTTGTTATGTTTGCTATTCTGTAATTGTAAAAGGGTATTCAAAAAGCAAATGGAATAAGCTTTCCTCCTCCCTTAAACTGAATACACAAACCTTGTCAAGTTAACTCTGGATTATTCCTCTTTTAGACAGTTGATCTGGTGTTGGTGGCCTGTTTAGGAGAAATTTACGGTCAAAGACTTGATCTTCGATTGGAACTTGGTCTTCCACAGAAACTTCAACACTTCTTTTAGATCTTTCTTCAAGACCACAGTCATCCTCCATGCGCATCAGCCTTTGATAACACGTTTTTATGGTGAAATTTCCATTAGCACTAGTTATCCATATTCCATGCATACGTATCCTTCACATTTCTTCTTGGTACAATCCTTGTTAGCAGCACCTTCAATTATGCACACATTTCAGCAATATCCTCTTCAAAAACATGTTCCATAAATATGAAAAGTGTAAGTCCAAGAACCCCCACTCCACATGCTCATTTCCTCCACACTCCCATTTGGTTTTCCTGGCAGGTTGTATAATTATGGAAAAACATTAGCAACGGTTGTGAGCATAGCCATTTAATTTTCTATAATGGCACACCACTTGTTGCAACCAACCTTCATGGTACGCAGTTTGAAAACCAATCCTCTTCTAATTACACTTGCATTCATATCGTTTAAAGACCATTCTACCACAATGATTCCTTCTTTCTGCTTAATGGTTCTATTTTAAATTACATCTTCATTTTGTGGTTCTCATACCTATGTTCTAGAATGCCAACCCAATTAGTTTTTTTGATCACTTAGTAACCTCCATTTCAACTTGCACAACAATGATTTTTGATTGAACACAATGTGGTTTGTCACAATCTTATTAAGGATCATGTTGAAAAAGAAAAATGTGTATTGTTAAGAAAAGGGAAATGAGTACTTTGTGACTTCAACCAATCAACTTGTAGATATTTGTATTAAGCTTCTTCCTAAGCAAAAATTATTTTTCATAATAATTGAATTAGAAATCTTAAATCAATCATGCATGAATTGATATGTAAATTATTTCTTCTTCTTCTTCCTTCATTTATCTAAATAATTATATGTGATTTATATGAGAGGGAGTAAAATATACTCTCTACTCATGTAAGGGGAAGTTTAACCACTTGAAATATTATCTTTATAAAAGATGTATGTCATCAGTAAAAAGAAGGAGAATATGGATCTATGTGTTTGCCGATATAGAGCTAATGATCCATATATGATTTACAATCTTAGTGTTTTGATGACAGCAACACTGATGATTATTGAATTCGGTAGTGATACCTTTCGAACTCCTTAATGATGGTTAATAACTTTGAGATATCTCAATCTTCATCAATTAGAAGAGTTAAGGGTATGGTGAAGTGCTTATATGATCTGTATATCTGACAAAGGAACTTGAAAGCTTCTAAGTTGTGAAATAGAGGAAGTGTGAAAGCTCTCCCTTAACTGTTTTTGTCTAAGTGACTAGAGTCTTTTGAAAGTAGTGAGAGTAATTCATAAGATATTAAAGTAACTCGTAAGATATTAATGCCTCTTTTTATTTTATAAAATTGCATAAAAATATTTTCTTTAAAGTGTAGCCAATTGATTAAGGGAGTGTCTAATTGATTAGAAGATTTTTTCTACTAAATAATTGATTATATCAAAATACCTATTCAATTTCTATTTGTTAAGTATAAAATTTATTGGGACAATATTTTAATGATTGGTAAATACTGAATATCAAAACCTTCCACTTCTGTCTCTTAAATGATTGGATGCTTCACCCAATCAATTGGACAGTGGCTATAAATAGAGGTGAGTTATCATCCCTTTCTCATCTCCTACTACCTCTTTTGTGCATTGGATTAGAAACCTCGAAGCTTTTCTCAATCTCTCATCATCATCTCCAAATGGGTCTAAAAAGAACTCGATTATCTCAAGCCTCTCCATCTTATTTCTCTAAAAATTTCTTTATTCAAGAACAATAGAACACTTTCAATCGATACTTTTTTCGACAGATAGGTGTACACTTCTCGTTACTTGGATGAGGATATTTTCAAAGATTGCCTCTTTGTAGAAGCCTTCAACGATGTCGGCCTTAAAAACTTCATCTTCGAAGTACCTCAAGAAAGGTATCCCAAATTGGTGAGAATGTTTTATGCAAATCTCAAATACTTCAATGGTGTAATTAGCTCCGGAGTTATGAAACACCCAATAATTATATCCCTTGATGAATTTGCACGAAACTTAAATTTACCATTTATCAATCAAGATTACAACCAATATGATGATAAAGGTAGTGAATTCAACTTTGACCTTAATACCCAGTCTCTTTTAACTTATCTTGCTTCTGATATTCCTTCTTCATTCATTCTCAGCATTATAGACCCGAATAGTCAAATGATTCACTATACGATGAATCATGTTCTTTTTCCAAGGAGGACCACCTCAAGAACCATTCACAAATTGGATAATCCTTTGGTTTGGTTTTTGGAAAATCGAGTTGAGAAGAATTGAGTAGATGTCATGCTGCATCATACGTTGGATAGATAAAAAAAAGACCCTATGATGAATTAGTACTGAAAGTATTGATGTATTCCGGTCTTGAATTGGATGAAGAGGAATAAAAAATTATGCACTCAAAAATAGGAAAAAGTATTTTGGTTCAAATGAGGCATGACATTCAAGGAAGGGAAAACATCACACTACCTCCAAAAGCTTCATCAAGGGCAAGATAAAAAAAGAAACAATACCCCCATTTATCCTCTTCAATTATCCTCAAAGACATATGTGATGATCAAAGATAAATGCATTTAAAGATTGACAAACTCATCTAGATGTTTGAGAAATCAAACCTCATATCTTCAAAGGTGTCCTGTCCTGTGAGGCTGATGATGATTATGGGATGAACTAATTGTTGTCTTATTTGCTGATTATCCTTGTTTGTCTTTATTCTTGTGCAATTACATTTTTTATAATTACTTTCAGTTAAATAAAATAATGCTTCCCTTTTCTAAATGACTATATGCCTATATGTTTTTATATTTAATTTCATGCATTGCATCCTTTATCTGCATTTTCGATTATGACAATGGAGGAGAAGTGCTAGTCGAAAATTAAGTTGATTTTGTGGGAATGACAATGTTATGCGAATAAGCCCACTTCTTTTTATAATTTTTCTAATTAAATTTCAACTCCATTAAATTGTATTGCTTAATTATTTTGTGTAGTTAGACGTTTTTTTTAAGGGTTTTGAGTACCACTTGTACTCGCATGTTTTTCGTAATATATAAGTTGTCTATTTAAAAAAAAACTTATATATGCACTGCACTATTGAATGAGAAAGAGCTAAAGGGAATGATAATTACTTAGTCGGATAGCTTCGAAAAAGATAACATGTTGCTTAACACTTCGAAAAAGATAACATGTTGCTTAACACAAAAGTTTTTTACTTTTTCCATATCAATTTTTATGGGAACGTTTAACATTTTCCACTCACGAAAATCAGGGCCTGGGTATATAGTGGTAAAATACTACAAAAGATAAAATATACTTTAAAAAAAGTGTAAATATATTATGCTGTGTGTGTAAAGAGAAGTTGTTGCGGTCATTAAGTTGTTTCTTTTTCTTTTTACTCAAATAACTACTTATTCCATTAATGTTCTTTATACAGTACATTAAGTTGTTTCTTTTTCTTTTTACTCAAATAACTACTTATTCCATCAATGTTCTTTATACAGTACAGGTTATATATTGAGTTAATTATGAACAATTAAATTAGGAAAACTAAACTCCTTTTTAATTATTTATTTATTTTTCTAAATCACTTTTTAGGATTTACTATTTCTCTAATAAATTATATTAAATATATAATTATTCACTATCTTAATGACTAACTCCTACATACTACTACTGTTACATTATCTTTTGATAAGTAATACTATATTATATTTTTATAAAACAAGAGCCATATAAAATAATGATGAAACCCAGGTATCTTTAAGCTCAATTGGATATCGATAGGGTCTTTCACTGCAACAAATCATAGTAAAAGTTCATTTGAATTTTACTCATAATAGAAACGAATTTAAATTATTAGTTTATCATATCCTAATTTAGAAATTTTATACCGTTTTAAATCGTTAGGAAATAATTATTTTCAAACCAAATAATTAATTGAAGTTCTAAACTATTAAACTATTTTTGAAACATTTATTTTAAAAATTTTAAAGCTAATTTTTTGTATTTATCTTTTTTCGATTTAGATCCGGCTCAGTTTTCAGTTTTGATACAATTCTAATACTGTTTGTGTTATATAATTTGATTCAGTAAACAGTTCAATTATTTTAATTTTAGTTTGATTTAAATTGACAATTCAGTTTAATTTAACAGTTTTAAATACATATATACCTTCAACTAATCAAATAGTAAAATTCATTGCCATGTCATTTTTTAATTTAATTTAATTTTAAAACAATTTACACTAATGATACTCATAATTAATTTTATCAAAGAATTTATATAAAATAAATCAAAAGTTTAAAAAAATTATTTCATAAGTAAAAAATAATATATCATTATTATTAAATGAGAAAGAGAATGGCGGGAGGAAAAAACCAAACATTTGTTCTTTTTTGTCTATATATAGAAAACTATATTCAAACACATTCAACTATTTTATTCAACTATTTTATTTGGTGAAAAGCTATATACTTTTTCTATAAAAAGACAGAATATAATATTCATACACAAATACTATGAACATTACATAAATAGTGAAAATGTGATTTAACCATAGATAAAATAACAAAATCGGTGAAATAACAAAATCGAAAAAATATGTGTTTTCGCTATTTTAAAATATACATTTTTTTTATAATGTTGTTAATTA